GGGTTCTAGGTAATTTTCTAGCAAAAATTCTGAATTTAACAAGTATATGAAAAAATTATTTAACATATTTGGGGGTTTCTAGGTAATTTTCTAGCAAAAATGCAGAATTTAACAAGTATATGAAAAAATTATTTAACATATTTGGGGGTTCTAGGTAATTTTCTAGCAAAAATGCAGAATTTAACAAGTATATGAAAAATTATTTAACATATTTGGGGGTTCTAGGTAATTTTATAGCAAAAAATTGCTGAATTTAACAAGTATATGAAAAATTAAAAAAAATTGCCCCGGGCAGCAAGTGGTAAAACAGCCCATTCTTCCTTAGAGCCAGGCTCCTGGGGAGGACTATTCTACATTTTTACACCTGTTACAGTAAAGAATCCCTTTCTCAAGTGGAAACTAAACATAGAATATTTTAGTTGAAAAGGGTGTCCTTCGACAAGGAGGCCCTATACCCATTTAAACATTGGGTATTAGTTTGTGTCTGGTGCACTAAAATTGCAAAAGCCCCCCCAAAAAAAAAAATTGCAACAGCTATCATTTTATTCTTTAAGGCCTCTGCTTTAAAAAAAAATAATAACATATTTGGGGGTTCTAGGTAATTTTCTAGAAAAAATTGCTGAATTTAACAAGTATATAAAAAATTAAAAAAATTAAACATAGAATATTTTAGTTGCAAAAGGTGTCCTTCTACAAGGCGGCCCTAAACCCTTTTAAAAATTGGGTATTAGTTTGTGTTCCGATGCACTAAAATTGCAATAGCCCCCCCAAAAAAAAAACAGCCACCATTTTATTCTTTAAGGCCTCTGCTGTAAAAAAAAAAATAACATATTTGGGGGTTCTAGGTCATTTTCTAGCAAGAATTTCTGAATTTAACAAGTATATGAAAGATTAAAAAAATTAAACATAGAATATTTTAGTTGCAAAGGATGTCCTTCTACAAGGCGGCCCTAAACCCATTTAAAAATTGGGTATTAGTTTATATTCGGGTGCACTAAAATAGCCCCCCCCCCCAAAAAAAAAATTGCAAAATCCATCATTTTTTTTAAAAATTAAAAAAATTAAACATAGAATATTTTTGTTGCAAAGGGTGTCCTTCTACAAGGCGGCCCTAAACCCATTTTAAAATTGGGTATTAGTTTATATTCGGGTGCACTAAAATAGCCCCCCCAAAAATAAAAATTGCAATAGCCATCATTTTATTCTCTAAGGCCTCTGCTGTAAAAAAAAAAAAAAAAAACATATTTGGGGGTTCGAGGTAATTTTCTAGCACAAATTGCTGAATTCAACAAGTATATGAAAAATTAAAAAAAATTAAAACATAGAATATTTTCGTTGCAAAGGGTGTCCTTCTACAAGGAGCCCTAAACCCATTTAAAAATTGGGTATTAGTTTATATTGCACTAAAATACCCCCCCCCAAAAAAAAATTGCAACAGCCTGAACCATTTTATTCTCTAAGGCCTGTGCTTTAAAAAAAAAAAAAATAATAGCATATTTGGGGGTTCTAGTAATATTCATTTTACTAGCAAAAACGGATGCTGCAATTTGAACAAGTATATGAAAAATTAAAAAAACTAAACATAGAATATTTTCGTTGCAAATTCCTTCTACAAGGAGCCCCTAAACCCATTTAAAAATTGGGTATTACCCCCGTGTTCAGGTGCCCTAAAATTGCAATAGCCCCCAAAAAAAAAAAAAAAAAAAAAAAAATTTGCAACAGCCATCATTTTAATTCTCTAAGACCTGCTTAAAAAAACCCATCCCAAAATAGCATATGGGGAGGTTCTAGGTTAATTTTTCCTAGCAAAAATTCTGACATTTAACAAGTATATGAAAAACTAAATTCCCCCACCCCCCATTTTCACGATGCCAAAGGGTGTCCTTCTGCCCTAAAAAAAATTGGGGGCCCCTCCCCACTAAAATAAAAAAAATTGCAACTCCCATCATTTTATTTCTCTAAGGGGCTTTAAAAAAAAAAAAAAATAACATATTTGGGGGTTCTAGGTAATTTCCACACCCTAGCAAAAATTGCTGAACCAACAAGTATATGAAAAATTTAAAAAAATTAAACATAGAATGGGCATTTTCAACCCTGGTGTCCTTCTGATGGGGCAGCTTTCTCAACCTGGGGGTCCCTGACCCCTTTGGGGTTCAAGTCCCCCCCCAAGGGGTCCCTAAACCCATTTAATGGTTTAAATTGGGTCCACCCCTTCGAACCCCCCTGTGGTGGGGGGTATGTTCGCGGCCCTAGTCCCCCTCACATCCCCCAACCCACCAGGGATCCCCAACAACCCCCCTAAACCCATTTAAAAATTGGGGTAAGCCCCCCCCACCCAATCACCCAAAAAAAAGATCTAAGAAAGCGAGGGCAACAGCCGTCCACATCATTTTCCTAGCAGGGAGAGCGGCAGCTTTTAAAAAGACAAATAATGAATATTTGGGGGTTCTAGGTAATTTTCTAGCAAAAATGCTGAATTTAACAAGTATATGAAAAAATTATTTAACATATTTGGGGGTTCTAGGTAATTTTATAGCAAAAAATTGCTGAATTTAACAAGTATATGAAAAATTAAAAAAAATTGCCCCGGGCAGCAAGTGGTAAAACAGCCCATTCTTCCTTAGAGCCAGGCTCCTGGGGGGACTATTCTACATTTTTACACCTGTTACAGTAAAGAATCCCTTTCTCAAGTGGAAACTAAACATAGAAATATTTTAGTTGAAAAGGGTGTCCTTCGACAAGGAGGCCCTATACCCATTTAAACATTGGGTATTAGTTTGTGTTCTGGTGCACTAAAATTGCAAAAGCCCCCCCCAAAAAAAAAAATTGCAACAGCTATCATTTTATTCTTTAAGGCCTCTGCTTTAAAAAAATAATAATAACATATTTGGGGGTTCTAGGTAATTTTCTAGAAAAAATTGCTGAATTTAACAAGTATATAAAAAAATTAAAAAAATTAAACATAGAATATTTTAGTTGCAAAAGGTGTCCTTCTACAAGGCGGCCCTAAACCCTTTTAAAAATTGGGTATTAGTTTGTGTTCCGATGCACTAAAATTGCAATAGCCCCCCCCAAAAAAAAAACAGCCACCATTTTATTCTTTAAGGCCTCTGCTGTAAAAAAAAAAATAACATATTTGGGGGTTCTAGGTCATTTTCTAGCAAGAATTTCTGAATTTAACAAGTATATGAAAGATTAAAAAAATTAAACATAGAATATTTTAGTTGCAAAGGATGTCCTTCTACAAGGCGGCCCTAAACCCATTTAAAAATTGGGTATTAGTTTATATTCGGGTGCACTAAAATAGCCCCCCCCCCCCAAAAATAAATTGCAAAATCCATCATTTTTTTTAAAAATTAAAAAAATTAAACATAGAATATTTTTGTTGCAAAGGGTGTCCTTCTACAAGGCGGCCCTAAACCCATTTTAAAATTGGGTATTAGTTTATATTCGGGTGCACTAAAATAGCCCCCCCAAAAATAAAAATTGCAATAGCCATCATTTTATTCTCTAAGGCCTCTGCTGTAAAAAAAAAAAAAAAAAAAAACATATTTGGGGGTTCGAGGTAATTTTCTAGCACAAATTGCTGAATTCAACAAGTATATGAAAAATTAAAAAAAATTAAACATAGAATATTTTCGTTGCAAAGGGTGTCCTTCTACAAGGAGGCCCTAAACCCATTTAAAAATTGGGTATTAGTTTATATTCGGGTGCACTAAAATACCCCCCCCCCCAAAAAAAATTGCAACAGCCATCATTTTATTCTCTAAGGCCTGTGCTTTAAAAAAAAAAAAATAATAGCATATTTGGGGGTTCTAGGTAATTTTCTAGCAAAAATTGCTGAATTTAACAAGTATATGAAAAAATTAAAAAAATTAAACATAGAATATTTTCGTTGCAAAGGGTGTCCTTCTACAAGGAGCCCCTAAACCCATTTAAAAATTGGGTATTAGTTTGTGTTCAGGTGCCCTAAAATTGCAATAGCCCCCAAAAAAAAAAAAAAAAAAAAAAAAAAAAAATTTGCAACAGCCATCATTTTATTCTCTAAGACTTCTGCTTAAAAAAAAAAAAAAAATAATAGCATATTTGGGGGTTCTAGGTAATTTTCTAGCAAAAATTGCTGAATTTAACAAGTATATGAAAAAATAAAAAAATTAAACATAGAATATTTTCGTTGCAAAGGGTGTCCTTCTACAAGGCGGCCCTAAACCCATTTAAAAATTGGGTATTAGTTTGTGTTCGGGTGCACTAAAATAGCCCCAAAAAAAAAATTGCAACAGCCATCATTTTATTCTCTAAGGCCTCTGCTTTAAAAAAAAAAAAAAAAAAATAACATATTTGGGGGTTCTAGGTAATTTTCTAGCGAAAATTGCTGAATTCAACAAGTATATGAAAAATTTAAAAAAAAATTAAACATAGAATATTTTCGTTGCAAAGGGTGTCCTTCTACAACAGCGGTTCTCAACCTGGGGGTCGCGACCCCTTTGGGGGTCGAACGACCATTTCCCAGGGGTCGCCTAAGACCATCGGAAAACACATATTTCCGATGGTCTTAGGAACCGAGACACCGCTCCTCTGACTCAGTCGATGTGTGGGCGGGATGATACGCTGCCCTGTCACCTGGCCACACCTCCAGGATCCCTCAACAACTCCGCCTCCTCGCCGCTGATTGGCCACCGGAACTGTAGCTCAGGAGAGGCACACAGGCGGCCAATCACCGGCGAGGAGGTGGAGGAGCCGAGCAGCAGCGCGCGTAGATCTAAGAAGATCGAGGGAACTGCCGAAGTAAGTGAAGAGGAGAGCGGCCAGAGAAGGAAGACAGCTGACAGGTAAGTGAGAGAGCGAGCCCAGGCTGGAGCAGGGGTCAGCAAGGTAAGTATCATTGGTGTCAGTGGGAGGAATAGTGCCCCATCATTTGTGTGACTAATACCAACAATGGGGCACTATTTCCCCCCCCCCCCCCCCCGCACTGACACTATTTCCTCCCCCCACTGACACCAACGATGGGGCACTATTCCTCCCCCCCCACTGACACCAACGATGGGGCACTATTCCTCCCCCCACTGACACCAACGATGGGGCACTATTCCCCCCCTCCCACTGACACCAATGATGGGGCACTATTCCCCCCCCTGACCCCAAAGATGGGGCACTATTTCCCCCTCCACCACACTGACATCAATGATGGGGCACTATTCCTCCCACTGACATCAATGATGGGGCACTATTCCTCCCACTGACATCAATGATGGGGCACTATTCCTCCCACTGACACCAATGATGGGGCACTATTCCTCCCACTGACACCAATGATGGGGCACTATTCCCCCCACTGACACCAATGATGGGGCACTATTCCCCCCACTGACACCAATGATGGGGCACTATTCCCCCCACTGACACCAATGATGGGGCACTATTCCCCCCACTGACACCAATGATGGGGCACTATTCCCCCCACTGACACCAATGATGGGGCACTATTCCCCCCACTGACACCAATGATGAGGCACTATTCCCCCCACTGACACCAATGATGGGGCACTATTCCCCCCACTGACACCAATGATGGGGCACTATTCCCCCCACTGACACCAACGATGGGGCTCTATTCCCCCCACTGGCACCAACGATGGGGCTCTATTCCCCCCACTGACACCAACGATGGGGCACTATTCCCCCCCCCCCCACTGACACCAACGATGGGGCACTATTCCCCCCACTGACACCAACGATGGGGCACTATTCCCCCCCACTGACACCAACGATGGGGCACTATTCCCCCCACTGACACCAACGATGGGGCACTATTCCCCCCACTGACACCAACGATGGGGCACTATTCCTCCCACTGACACCAACGATGGGGCACTATTCCTCCCACTGACACCAACGATGGGGCACTATTCCTCCCACTGACACCAACGATGGGGCACTATTCCTCCCCCACTGACACCAACGATGGGGCACTATTCCTCCCACTGACACCAACGATGGGGCACTATTCCTCCCACTGACACCAACGATGGGGCACTATTCCTCCCACTGACACCAACGATGGGGCACTATTCCTCCCACTGACACCAACGATGGGGCACTATTCCTCCTACTGACACCAACGATGGGGCACTATTCCTCCCACTGACACCAACGATGGGGCACTATTCATCCCACTGACATCAGTGATGGGGCACTATTCCTTCCACTGACACCAATGATGTGGCACTAGTCCTCCCACTGCAAAATTACAGTTATGAAGTAGCAACAAAAATAATTTTATGGTTGGGGGTCACCACAACATGAGGAACTGTATTAAGGGGTCGCGGCATTAGAAAGGTTGAGAACCACTGTTTTACAAGGAGCCCCTAAACCCATTTAAAAATTGGGTATTAGTTTGTGTTCAGGTGCCCTAAAATTGCAATAGCCCCCAAAAAAAAAAAAAAAAAATTTGCAACAGCCGTCATTTTATTCTCTAAGACCTCTGCTTTAAAAAACAAATAATAACATATTTGGGGGTTCTAGGTAATTTTCTAGCAAAAATTGCTGAATTTAACAAGTATATGAAAAATTTAAAAAATTAAACATAGAATATTTTCGTTGCAAAGGGTGTCCTTCTACAAGGCGGCCCTAAACCCATTTAAAAATTGGGTATTAGTTTGTGTTCGGGTGCACTAAAATAGCCCCCCCCCCCAAAAAAAATTGCAACAGCCATCATTTTTATTGAAAAATTAAAAAAATTAAACATAGAATATTTTCGTTGAATGAACACATGAACTAAACGCTGGGAAATGAGCTACAGTAGAAGTTAAACAGAATTTTTATTCAAGTAAAAAAGGCATTCGTGTTCGTTAGTCCGGCCCGGAGACTGGGGAAAGGCTGTCATTGGACAAGTGTATCTGAAATACTTAGAAAATAATTTCATAACCAAAAATTTTCTTTTTTTGTTTCATTGAATTACATCATCTCTCCCCTCACCGGCAGACAGTATGTAGCCTTGATTTCAGGCAAAGTGCTGTATGCAAAATTTGCATTTGTTAAAAAGTAAAAAAAAAAAAAAAAATAAAAAAAACATGGCATATGGTATATTATACGCTGCTTGCTATTCAGTATAAAGTTTTATAAACTTTTAAACTGTCTGGATAACTTGTATTATCATTGTTACTCTGCTAGCATACTGTCTGGCTAATACAAAGTATCAGATTCGAGGAGTACTCCCCCATTATATAAAACAACACTGAGGTTCAGATTTATTTATTAATACCATTTTAATAATTATTTAGGCAATTAATTATCTTCAGTGTTTCAATTCCGCCCCAACCCTCCATCTCCTCTTGTGCATGTCCTGCCATTGATTCAAAGGTTTAACGGGAATATCAGGAATAGCATTTAATTTTGGATAGGGTAGGGAAGTATTAGGAGTATCTAAACCCAAGAATAAAAATAGAAAATATTTTCCTTGGATTTGGTGGCGGCATTCGATTAAAAAAAATTTTGTCACCAGGGGCGGACTGACCATTTGGAAACTCGGGCAGTGCCCGAGGGCCCGGGGGGTCAGTAGGGGACCCCATGAGATGCCCCTGGTACCTTTTTCATAGGCTTTTTTGAGTTTGGGCAAGGACACAGGGGCCCCATGATCCCCTATTGCCCGGGGGGGCCCATGAGTTGTCAGTCCGCCCCTGGTTTTCACTCATGTCCGCACTGCATGGGTTAACTGCTTGTTTTGTCCAGGGGTGCACCGAAAAGCTATACTTACCTGATGCTTTGATACTCGGGAAAATAGCACTCCCCCACGTCCAGCGGTGGACTGTTCCCTGCCGTCCTCATGTCCAGAGTCGGTCTATAAGCATGATGACATCAGGAACAGTCCATTCACAAGACCGCTAATGTGGGGGGGTGTGCGCAGGAGCCGCGGGGACCGGTCAGAGAATTGGTGGATTAGGTAAGTATATCTCCGCTCTCCCCCCACCCATAGTCAAAAATGAGCAGTTAATGTATATTATATAGGGCGCGCTTGTTGGAGCCCAACCTCTGTAGCTGTAGGATAAAGGTGCCAGATGGATATCAGGGATGGATGGATGGGAGCAGTAACACTGAGGCAGCTCTTCTTAGAGTGGAAGCAAGGCTCTAATTCAGTAACAAGTAAAAGAGAGGAAGGCGCCTCTAAGTGCAGTATTAACAATTTATTAGTAGACAATGGAAAAATTTGCACATACAAGATAAATGGTTAAAAAGACTCATCGTGTGGTCATTAGATCCAGGTGGGACATCCAGCCGTCCAGCAGCAAGCTATGTCTATAGGATCAGGAAGTAGAGTCCAGGATGTGCATCAAAAATGAAGCTTGGAGAGCAGAGTCAGATGTAGCAGGTGAAGGGGGCGGTAATGCATTTCGGAGCATGCTCAATAGGCTCCTTCTCCGGACCTCATTGTTTACTGAATAAAGTGTCAATACTGCACTTAGAGGCGCCTTCCTCTCTTTTTCTTAAAAATGAGCAGTTAGCTGTGCCCCCACTGCATGGGAGAAATTTTTTTTCATGGAATTCTTTAATATTTAAGTCCTGATATAAATTTATTCCAAAGACAAATTGTTTTCTATAGCCGGCATGTTTCAGGGACTGGGCTCTGCCCCCTCGATCAGGGATGGGATGCAACATGGAAGATAAAAAATGATTTAATAATAAATTATTGTTATTTTTTATAATAATAATTATTATTATTACTATTTATTATTATTATTATTATCCACAATAAAACATTATTTTAAATATATAATATTTTTTTTTGCATATTATATATTTTAGTATTCACACTTCTATAATAATAATAATTATTATTATTATTACTATTATTATTATCCACAATAAAACATTATTTTAAATATATAATATTTTTTTGCATATTATATATTTTAGTATTCACACTTCTATAATAATAATTATTATTATTATTACTATTATTATTATCCACAATAAAACATTATTTTAAATATATAATATTTTTTTTGCATATTATATATTTTAGTATTCACACTTCTATAATAATAATTATTATTATTATTACTATTATTATTATCCACAATAAAACATTATTTTAAATATATAAATATTTTTTTCGCATATTATATATTTTAGTATTCACACTTCTATAATAAATATATAATATTTTTTTTGCATATTATATATTTTAGTATTCACACATATATTTAATTAATTTTAATTTTTTTAATATTATTATTATTATAATTATTATTAAACAATTAAAACATTTTATTTTAAATATATATTTATTATTTTTTTGCATATTATATATTTTATATTCACACTTCTATAATAATAATAATTATTTATTATTATATTATTATTATCCACAATAAAACATAAAAATATTTTAAATTTTTTTTTATTTATATATATTTTTTTTGCATATTATATATTTTAGTATTCAATAAAAATTATTTTAAAATATAATTCTATAATTTTAATATTTTTTAATTATTTTATTACTATTATTATTATCCACAATAAAACATTATTTTAAATATATAATATTTTTTTTGCATATTAATATATTTTAGTATTCACACTTCTATAATAAAATAATATATTATTAAATTAACTATTATAATTATCCACAATAAAACATTATTTTAAATATATAATATTTTTTTTTTGCATATTATATATATATTTTAGTATTACACACTAATAAAAATAAATTATATTTTTTTATTAAATTATTATTAAATAAAATAATTTAATTATATATTAATTTTATAAAAAAATAAAATTATTATTTATTTTAAATATATTAATTTTTAATGCATATTAATTATTTTTTAGTATTCATAACTTTATAATAATAATAAATAATTATTATTATTTACTATTATTATTATCCACAATAAAACATTATTTTAAATATTTTTAAATTTTTTTTTGCATATTATATATTTTAGTATTCACAAATAATAATAATTATTATTTATTATTATTATTTTATTATTATTATCCACAATAAAACATTATTTTAAATATATAATATTTTTTTTCGCATATTAATATATTTTTTATTAAAAACACTTCTATATTTTAATAATAATTATTATTATTACTATTATTATTATTTAACAATAAAAATTATTTTAAATATATAATATTTTTTTTTGCATAAAAAAATATATTTTAGTATTCACAAATAATAATAATAATTAAATTATTATTATTACTATATTATATATTATCAAAATAATTTTAAAAAATTAAAAAAATTATTTTTTTTTGCATAATATTATATATTTTAGTATTAAATTTTATATTTAATAAAATTAATAATTATTAAAATTATTATTATTTTTTAATAAAAAAATATTTTAATAATATTAATAAAAAAAAAATAATAAATAAATTATTTAAAAAAATAAAATATTAAATTTTTTTAAAAACAAATATTCTAAAAGTGATAAAGCATGATTATTTAGCATAAGTGGCTAAATGGTTAACTTAAATATTAATATACTCAGGTCGTTTATAAAAAATAAAATTTTTTTGCCTATTAGTTTGCATGTTTTTCTGTGCCTGCGTTTTTTTATAATTACTAAAATTTTCCTCCCACACTCCAAAAACAAAAAATTGGTAAAAATTTTTTTTCCTTCTAAATTGTTTTTTTTATATTAAAAATTTATGAATGTGAGTTAGGGATTTTTAGATTTGTACACCCCTTGAGGGTTTTTTTATGTGAATGTACAATATATATGTTTTGCTAATAAATTGACGGCGATATATAAGTACCTAAAAATTTTTAAATAAAGAATACTTTGGATTGAATAATCACATCATAATAATCGTACCCATAATATTGTAATTCTAAAATCATCATATTAACATTTCTACAATGCTATAACTTTATTTAATATAATTATAATAATTAAATATTACTATTAATAATGAAGTTTTTTAGAAATGGGAATTTTTAATAAATATATTGTAAAAATTTATTTAAAAATAATATAAAAGTATG